AGGGCTAGATTAGTGGATATGTATTGTTTAAATCTGGTTTTGTCATGGAATATGTTATTTTCTGTATCTATAGTGATTGAAAGTTTTGCTGAGTATAGTAGTCTGGTCTGGCATCGTGGTCTCTTAGTGTTTGTAGAATGTCTATCCAAGACCTTCTGGCTTTCACAGTTTCCATGGAGAGGTCAAGTGTAATTCTGATAGGTTTGCCTTTATATGTTACTTGGCCTTTTTCCTTTGCTGCTCTTAATATTCTTTCCTTATTCTGTATGTTTGGGGTTTTGATTATTATGTGCCAAGGGGACTTTTTGTTTTGTGGTCTACTCTATCTGGTGTTCTGTAGGTTTATTGTACATTCATTGGCATTTCTTTCTTTAGGTTGGGGAAGTTTTCTTTTGTGATTGTGTTGAATATGTTTTCTGCACCTTTGAGTTGGGTTTCTTCACCTTCTATCTCTACTATTCTTAGATTTGGCCTTTTCACAGTGTCCCATATTTCCTGGATATTTTGTATTAGAGATTTGTTGGACTTAAGATTTTCTTTGGTTGATGAATCTATTTCTCCTAGTGAATCTTCAATGCCTGAGATTCTGTCTTCCAACTCTTGTATTCTGTTGGTTATGCTTGCATCTGTAGTTCCTGATCATTTAGTCACCTTTTCTAATTCCAGCATTCCTTCAGGCTGTGGGTTTTTTTTTTTATTGTCTCTATTTCAGCTTGCAAACCTTGCACTGTTTGAATTGTCTCTTGCAACTTTTGGTTTGTTTTTTCTTCCATTTTTTTTAAAGGGTTTTCTCATTTCCTCTTTTAGGGTCTCTAACAACTTCATGAGGTTGTTTTTAAGGATATTCTCTTCTGCTTCATCTGTGTTGGAGTGTTCAGGTCTTGCTGGTGTAGAGTCCCTAGACTCTTGTGGCGTCATATTGGTTTTTCTGTTGCTGGATGTGTTCCTATATTGTCATCTTCCCATCCCTTCTTCCAGTGGGTGTAAGTGCGGTATCTTCTTCTCCTGGTGGGTACGGGTCCAAGGTTCTCTTCTGGTAGGTGCAAGCAGGTCTAATACTCTGATGGGTCTCACGGTGGGTGGATGCAGGTGGGTCTAAGGCACTCCCTCTTATAGTGGGTGGAAGCAGGACTAGCACAGGGATATCAGCACAGTTGCAGTTGTTTGGTCCATAGGGGGCTAGTCACCTGCCTGAAGCCACCAGGCCAGGAGATCCCAGAGTGGGCAAGTGCAAATTGGGCCTGAGACAGGGGCCCAAACTCACCTCTCCCTTGAGTCTAGAATTTATTTTTAAAGCAATTTATTATCCAGATTAATTCATATATATGACTTTGTTATAGTGGATACTAACTAGCAAAAACCAAACAAAAACCTTTAAAATGGAAAATAGTGGGCTTAGCTATGGTAGATGGTGAGAAAAGGAATATAGGAAAGAGAGACTCCGTGATTCACAAAGACAGATACTTGAAAATATATAATTAGATGTTCCAGTTTTAAAAATGCATGTATGTGGTTAACTAGAATAAAAACCAAAAGAATAATGATAAACATTAAAGTAAGAATATGATTTTTTAAAGGTTATGTATGATCAAAAATCTAAGGTACTAGCATTATGCTAATTACATAATCTCAAGAGTGAAAAAGTGGATGCTCATTTTTATATTTTTCTTTTTTAAAAGTGAGACTGTAGAGATAGCTCAGCAGTAAGAGCACTTACTGTTCTTCCAGAGGACCTGAGTTCAAACTCCAACACCCTCATCAGGCAGCTCACAGCTGCTTGTAACTTCAGCTCTAGCCATACATATACCCTTATACACAAATACAATCTTTTAAACAAAGTGTATATATTTTATAAGATTGTGGGTTATACACAATAAACCTCACTATTTATGAAAATAGATGTGTATTCCATAATCTTCTCCTATTGCCCCTCCCCATAGATCTATATTTGCCCTCTTATAATTCTGGTTCTTTCATAATTCTGGTGGTATAAATAAACACATTTCTACATCCTGCATATGAGATGCCTGTCTTTTAGCCTGATTTATTTTGTTTAACATGATCTACAGTTGTATCCACTTTCCTGCAAAAGTCACGACTTCATTCTTTGTTAGCTTAAAATTGAAAGTGAAATATAAATTTATATTATATTTCAAGGATTCTTTAATAAAGTGGTTATAAGTCAGGTAGTGGTGGTGCTTGCCTTTAATCCCAGGACTCAGGAAGCAGAGTCAGGCAGAACTCTGAGTTGAAGGCCACCCTGGTTTACAGAGCAAGTTCCAGGACAGCCAGAACTACACAGAAAAACCCTCTCTTGAAAACCAGAATAAATAAAGTGGTTATAAAGCTAAAAATAACTAATTTGTGTTATGAGCATTTAATTATAACCATATAAATTATTTACTTTACAAAATTAACATACCGAAAGTGAAAATTATATGTGTTTATAGGAAAGCATTTTATAAAGTTCAGTGCTGCTTTATATTTCCAAAGAGCCCTTTGCAGAGCAGTTACGAAAGGGAATGTGATAGTGTCTTAAGGGCCTTCTTCTCTGGAGAAATTATTGACACATCAATTTTAAGGTCAAGAACAGATTAAGGAACAACAGTAGCATCCCTCATAAACTAAAAATAAGAAATTATAGGTACTGGATAAAACTATAAGAAACAAAGATGTGTAATAAGAGGGGGGGAAAGAGATAAATATGCCATTATTTGTGTGATTAACAGTCTAGAAAAATAAATGTTATCAAAAGATAATAGTTTCAATGAATAAAGGAATCCAGCAAGATTATTGGATGTAGAAGAAAACTGAATATTCTTCTGCACAAAAATACTATCAACTAGCAAAATAATAAAACCTTAAGTTCCTTTCAGGATAGACACAGATCTATATAGTATTTAGAAATTAACATGAGCTGCATAAAAATCCTGAGAAAATGCAATCTATTTAAAAAGCATAAAAAGAGATGAGAGTTCATTAGGAACCTTACAGTGCTGATGGGCTAGATAGGATAATAAAGGTACTAAAAACAATAATTTGTTCTAAAGCTATTAATTTTAATTTTGCAATTGTGTCTAAAAAGAGAATTATCAGTTTTTCCAGATCTGGTCCACACAAAATATTTCCATACTCCTTGCTGCATAGAATGGAGACAAACCTAGGATGATGTGGTAGAAGTGGAGCCCATGACCACCCTACAAGCCTCTTCATATGCCCAGCAGTCATATTCTGGGGATGTTATGTTAAGAAGTATCTAGGTATGTAAAGGTGACCCATGCCTTTAATCTCAGCACTGGGGAAGCCAAGGTGGGCATATCTTGATGAGTTTGAGGCCATCCTGGTCTTTATAGAGGATTCCAGGACAGCCAGAGCTACATAGAAAGACCCTGTCTCAAAAAAAAAACCCACAATTAATTAATTAATTAGTATTTAGTTAATTTAGGTTAAAATACTTTTGGATTGTTTTAATATCAATTTCCTTATTGAAACTAATTTAGATGCTTACTAATTTAAACATGAAAATGGGAAGATTGGGCTTAGACTAAAAAGACTGATTCCATGTCTTGCAAAAGAAAGTATTTGAAAATATAACATTAGACAAGTTAATCTAAAAAAGTTATTTGGATATGAGAGAAGAAATACAATGTGGGCAAAACGGGCTCTGTGATCAAAGAGGGACTGACAAGAAAGTTCTACTGCATAACCTGAATAATAAGTAGCATCTGTCCATTTTATTTTTGTGAGCAGCTCTCATTATGTAGACCTGATTGGGCTGGAACTTGATGTATAGGCCAGGCTGGCCTCAGGCTTGCAGAGCTTTACCTGCCTCTGCCTCCTGAGTGCTGGGATCAAAGGCATATGTCACCATATCCAGGCTTTTTATCTTTATAAAGCATACACATGTTTAAATAAACGCTTCTAAAAAGTAAATTTTACTATTTAAAAAAACCAAATTTGTTAGTTTTTATCACAGGCATATATAATATTCAATTTATGACACTAAGTGGATGGGAATGAAAAACTTGTAGGTATTTGGATGACCTACAGTTTGGAGGTTCAATAGGGATCACAATCTTATACTGAAATTAATTAAACAAAATGTTAAATCAATTTTCACAGTAATACTAGCCGCATTTTAGATGAACATCAATGTGACTATCATTTCAGACAGAAGAGTATGGAATATTTCCATTACTGTACATTTTGTACAATATCGCATACCTAAATACCATAGGCTCCATAGTTTGCACCCATGTAGTATATTGTGTTTTTCATACTAAGAAGTCCTCAAAGTGTTTATGAACTTATGCTTTTAAATTTGGGGGCTCTGTGGAATCATATCTGTGCAATAGAAGATAAATGAGTACATCACTCATAATGCACACTAAGTAGGATTGGCAAATAACAGATAAGCCCAGTGTTTTTATTCCGTGCAGTCTGGAGCTCAGAGTATAGACATACACTAGTTTATGTAATGTGAGTGCTTTGTAGTCAAGTCTGAGACCACTTTTTATTCCATTTCCTAAGTATTTCATTGGGTTTCCTGAAAAAGGGTGGAGAAAAAAATATCCAGCTAGTGTGAATTTGGGAACTTAGTACTCTGGAATTAAAAACAGACAATGTTCAAAATATCGAAATGAGATAAATAAGTTAAGGAATTTTTTTGTTGTTTTACAAACTCATTTCAATAAAATCACCAGAGTATGTATTGTGACAAGAGACATGGGATTTATTTAGATTTTTCGCTATTTAAATTACTTATATGTATGTGGGAATGTACATGGATGGGTATGTGCATATGAGTGTTTAGTGCTGGCAGAGGCCAAGGGCATTGGATCTTCCTGGACCTTGACTTAAGGGTGGTTGTAAACCACCTGGTGTGGGTCCTGGGAACCAGCCCAAGTCATGTGAGGGAGCAGCATGTGCTTTTAACTTCTGAGCCAACACTCCAGCCCTGAGAAATAGTTACAACAAGTAAGAATCACTACTTATTCGACTCATGATTACTAAAGTTTTATTTTGTGTTCAAGGAGAAAAGAAGACATGTGTAATTTATTCTTTATAAGTTCTGCAGTAACATATTTGAAAAAGAAGAACATACTGAAATGGAATCATTGAAAGAGACCATAAATGAGCAAAAGTGAAATCAAAATATTTCCAGATTTTCATTACACTGGAAGTATCGGCACTTGGTGATCTTCACAAAGCCTGAAAAGGTAGCAGCATATAATGGTGCCCTTTACAGTCTAGTAAGTCAGCCTTTACTGAGGTTTAGCCTTAACTAATACATCCACATTAGCTTTGTCTCCCTCTCCAAGACTTTTTGCATTGCCATCAACAAGGGCATTTTCCTCCTTCTTGGTGGGCCTCTGGTAACTGCTGTCTCTGGCAGCCATTTGAACTCCAAGGCTAACAAAATTGTGTACATCTTGCAGCTTCTTTCTCAGCCATTGCATCCGCTCCACAGAGGCCAGGTGTTTGCCCAGGTTGTGCATAAGTTGTATTTCACTGACAGCTCTCTTCCTAGAAAGAGCAGGAAGAGGGGGCCATTAGTTTCCCATTACCCATCCTAAAACCCTGCTACAAAACCTCAGGTCCACATCGTCCCAGTGCAGAATGGGTTAAAACACTTACTTAATAGGTTTCCCATCTGTTTGGGTAAGAAGACAGACTGCCAGCATGATGATCGTTACTTTAGCCATGGCTTTTGCAGACATCATCTTTACTGAAAGGAGAAACAACATTGAGGTAGTTTAAAATACTGTCAGTGTGCTAAAGTCCTAGTAGTTGTTTTTCATAACCACCTAAGCAACCAGCAGTTAGCTAACATCACAGAGATCAATTGAGCTGTTTTTTTCCCCGAGTCTTTGGAATCAGCCTCTTTATATAACGGATACATTAGTAACATGCCATGTACACATAACGCAGGGAAATTGGGTACATGACTTTCTTAGGTAGCTTTCTGAATTTTTGTGCAAATTTTAATATGAAATTTAAAACACACGATGAATGAAGAGCGCGTTTTTATTATTTCTTCCCATTATTTTTGTTGGCTATACCTAAGTGTTTATAATAGGCCTGAAAATCACTAATCTACTAGTTAGGTAAATTACCACTATTTAGTGCTCAAACACTGTTTTCATTACTAAGCTTATTTTCAGATGCTATCATAATAACCATAAATAATAAATTTGTAGGGTTTTATTTTTACTTTTGAATAAGCTCTTGCTATGTAGCCCAGGTTAGCCTTCAAATTCTGATCTTCCTGCCTTGGTCTCTGGCACATTAGGATTGCAGGCATTCACCACCATGTCTAACTATAAGGTTTGATTTTAGTATCTTTACTGTATTAATAATATGCATACATTTCAAAATGAAAAAACATGTGTCATGGCTAGAAGAATGGTCCAATTAGCAAAGTTCTTGCTGTACAAGCTTGAACCTGAGTTCAGACCCTAGCACTCATAGAAAGATATTGAGCACAGCAGCACTGTACCTGTAGCCCTAGCATTGGGAAAGTCTTTAAAAATAGGTGGAGAATGTAGAAGAAGATATCCAACATTGACCTCTGGCCTTCACATGTACATACATAGTCACATATGTGTGATTATACACACACCCACACACACACACACAAAGTATGTGTCAAGACATTTAAAAACCAATTAATTTCTTATATATTGTTCTTTGAGCTTTGACCCTTAATAAAATGAGTGTCTGCTTCTTATAGCTTCAACTTAACAGTTATGGTTTAGTATAACTTCTAGTTCTAAAGTACTGTAAGAAACTTTATAGTCTGCAATATTTCTCCTCCCTGTGCACTGTACAGCTATCAGTGGATAATAAAGGAAAGTTGGGGCTCAGTCACAAGCTCTGTAGCTAGTGGACAGAAGCATGGATGTCTGGTCCTATCAGTTCAGGTGATCTAGTGACATCTCTGCTTCATTTCTTGTTCTTTTGAGGAAGATGAACTTCTTATATAGGGATGCCTTGAAAAGAGCTTAAATAACCATAAAGCATCCTTAAACACACACAGGTTAGAAAATGCTCTGGGAATCCAGCATGGGACTGATCAATACCCCCTGAATTTGGGTGTCAGTGAGGAGGCCTAGGGAACCTATTGAGCCTTGGGCAGCAGATCAGTACCCATCCCAAGTATACACACGGACTTTGGACTCCCATAGAACAATGTGAGGTGCACTCTCACCCTGAACTCTTAGGGAAGGGTCTAGGCCCTGCCCTATATGAAATGACAGACTATGGACACCCCCATGGAGGGCCTCACCCTCCCTGGGGGAATGAGAGGATAACGGGGGGGTTGGGGGAGGGCACGGGAGGAGGGAGGGAATGGGAGAGGGACCTGGAACTGACTTGTGAAGCAACCTCGTTTCTTATCTAAATTTAAACTGGAAAAAAAGAAAGTTATTTGAATGCATGTTAAACATTAATGTAATTTTTGAAAGGTTATATCTGATTTTTTTTACCAAAATAAATCTGGAGAATAAAAAAATAAAATAAAATAAAAAAAAGAAAATGCTCTTCTCTGTGTAAAAGGAATGACTATTCAACAGTGAAAAAATTGCAACCTTAGTATGCAGGCTAAGCCTCTTAGAATCAATAAGTTTAAAATATAGATAAGGATACCCTACAGGAAAATAAACATACACTCCACATGGTAAATCATTGTTGACTTTTTACATCAGAATTATTGTCTCTCCACCAGCCTGTTTTTTATTCCAAATTTTTGAATAATAATAAGGTCATTAAAGAGTATTATCAATTTTCTGTACTTTCAGGCAGTTTTTAAAAAGGTATTCCAAGAGTTTTCATCATAAAAATAGAAGATTCATGACTTTCTTGCCATAACATAAATATATTTTATTGCTACATTTATATTTAGCAAAATTCACCTCCCCTTAATGTTTTACAATGGAAAGTAGCATAATATTGGTTGAAAATTGTATGCATTAAAAACTTGTTCAATTATTGAAATCTCACGTAATCTAGAAGGGCAATTGAGAGACTCCTTACCATACAAAGGCTTCAGAGAGGATCCTTTAAGAGTGCCACCAACTGGTGCTGTATTAAGCTGGAGAGAACAAGACACAGCGGATGAACTGGACTGCAGCTCCTCAAATCTGCATTTCTTATGTAGGCTTTTGCTCACCAAGAGGAGCATTTTATTGTTAAAGATGATGTCACTCCCAGTTCTTTGGATTTCAACCATAGGACCAGAGCAGCCACATACCCTCATTGGGCGGTGCCCGCTCCTCTAAAGTTTCAGATAATTAGATAATAGAAGATAAAGAGCAAGGTGCTGAATAAAGGACCTACCAAAGGAGTTTCAGCAAATACCGATCACACCACCTAGAAAATTCTAACATAATTGATGATACTTTTTAAATGTTTGAGACAGAGTCTCATGAATGTAACCCTGGCTGGCCTGAAACTCACATAGATCTACCTTGGCTCTGCTTCATGAGTGCTGGGATTAAAGACATTTCCCACCAGGTCTTCCAAATATTTATGATAAAGTTATTCCAGTATTTAAAAATACAGCCTAAACTACATTTGTTATTTATGATAGCCATACTATAATGATTACACTTATCTCATTAAGAAATCATATAGCATGCTTTTTTTACAAGCCATTTCCAACTAATTCATATCATCTTTGATCATCTTTCCAAAAATATATTTTATGTATTATATATATATATATTACAAGGGAGATGGATTGATGGTTCATTGAATAAGTGCAAGTGTGAGGACCTGAGTTCAGTTCCCAGAATCCATATTAAAGCCAGCCTCTAATAGCACAGGTACTAAGATCCACAATTAATAAACGGGACTCCAGGAAACTGAAAAGCTTCTGCAAGGCAAAGAACACCACCAATAGGACCAAACAGCAGCCTACAGAATAGGAAAACATTTTCACGTACTCTGCATCTGATAGACGGCTAATATCCAAAGTATATAAAGAACTCAAGAAACTAGACATCAACTAACTAATGTTTAACAAACATTAAAAATGGGGTATATATCTAAACAGAATTCCCAATAGAGAAATCTCAAATGGCTGAGAAACATGTAAAGAAATGTTCAACAACCTTAGCCATAAGAAAATGTAAGTCAAAACTACTTTGAGTTAAATTTAATTGTCTGGAAATACATGAGATTTGAAATGGCAATTAAATGGACACTGAAATTACTCCTTAACACTTCATTCTTTTAGGAACTTACGGAGTGAAATCCTTCTCATTAAGAGTAAATCTTCTGCAGCGTTAGTATTTAGTGATTAAAGTTTTAGATTATACTCCATGCTGTAGATGGGGCAATTTCAGTTCTGTGTATCCCTGACTGAGATCCCAATGAAGTTGGAAGAAATCTTCAGTTCTGAAAAGATTCTGGAAGACTGCTGTATTCTTCTGGAGTTAATGTCCTACAGCACTTTTTTCCTCTTAATATTGAGACAGTGAAAATAAATCTGTACCCATTAAAAATAAAAAACTACTTTGAGATTCTATCTTACACCTGTCAGAATGGCTAAGATCAAAAACACAAGTGATAGCATATGCTGGTGAGGATGTGGAGCAAGGAGAACACTCCTCCCCCTCTGGTGGGAGTGCAAACTTATACAGTCACTTTGGAAATCAATATGGCAATTTCTCCAGAAAATTGAGAATTGATCTATCTCAAGTCCCAGCTATACCAATCTTGGTCATATGCCCATAAAATGTTCTATCCTACTACAAAGACACTTGTTCAACTATATTCATAGCACTGTTATTCATAGTAGCTGGAAACTGGAAACAACCCAGATGTCCTTCAACCAAAGAATAGATAAATAAAATGTGGTACATTTATAAATGGAGTATTACATAGCTGTTTTAAAAAATGGCACCATGAAATTTGCAGGTAAATGAATTGAACTAGAAAAAAGTCATCCCTAGTAAGGTGGCCAAGACCCAAAAGAAAAACATGGCATGTACTCACTTGTAAGTGAATATTAACTGTAAAATAAATGATAATCATGCTGTAATCCACAGACCTAGAAAGGCTAAGTGATAAAGAAGGCTCTATGGGAGATGTGTGGATCTCCCTGGGGAGGGGAAATAGATTAGATTTTGTGGGTGGATTGGGGGCAGATGGGGATGAGAGCAGGAAGGATTAGAGTGTGGGGATGGATGGAGGGAGAGAGTATAGGGAGAGATGACCAGAATCGGAGGGCATTGGGGGGGGGCCGATGTGGGAACCTAGTGCAGTAGAAACTCCCAGGAATCTACGAGGGTAACCCCAGCAAGGACTCTTAGTAATGGAGAACATGGAGCCCGAACCAGCCATCTTCTGTAGGCAGGCAAGGCTTCCAGTGGTGACACTGGAGCAAGGACCTAGTCACAAAATCTCCAACCTACAGTCTATCCTGTCTGCAAGATGTGCAGGGCAATGAAGGCACAGAACTTGTGGGAGTGGCCAACCAATGACTGGTCTAATTTGAAGCCCATGCCATGAGAGGGAGTTCATGCATGATACTGCTTGGATGGCCAGGAACTGGAGACTGGGTAACCCAGAGACCTAAGACAGAGGGTTTCTGTGTTGCAAGGGTCAGTTGAAGAGAGGGTCACTCCAGAATGTAATTCAGGCTCTCTGGCAGTAGGGAAGAACAGTTTTCTATGAACTGAACCTCAAACAGCTGTGCAATGGCATATTTATTGTTACACAAAAGTTGGGTTTTTTGGGGGTAAAAACAAGTTCCTCATAGCAAAGCCCCTGATCTAATGTTTTCCTTTGGAAAGCATCACACCCCCCGCAACTTTATTTTATTTATTTATTGTATATACAGCCTTCTGGCTGCATGCCAGCGGAGCACACCAGATCCCATTAAAGGTGGTTGTGAGCCACCATGTAGTTGTCAGAAATTGAACTCAGGACCTCTGGAAGAACAGTCTGTGCTCTTAACCACTGAGCCATCTCTCCAGCCCCCACATCCCTGCAACTTTAATACTTATTGTGTACTGTTTGCAGTACCCAATAATGCAAGATGCTCCAGGTGTGCCAGGACCATCTTGTGATCAAAGTCATGCAAAGGCTGTGTACTGGCTGGGTTTGTGTGTCAACTTGACACAAGTTACAGCCATCAGAGGAAGGAGCCTCAGTTGAGGAAATGCCTCAATGAAATCCATCTGTAAGGCATTTTCTCATTTAGTTATCTATGGGGAGGGCCCAGAGAATGGTGGGTGGTGCCAATCCTGGCTGTTGGTCGTGGGTTCTATAAGAAGGTGCACTGAGCAAGCCATAGGAGGCAAGCCAGTAAACCGTGTTCCTCCATGGCCTCTGCATCATCTCCTGCCTCCAGGTTCCATGCATAAAGGTCCTAGATTTACCCTCCCCAAGTTCTGCAAACAAACAAAAACTCTTTTGATACAAAGTGTGCATGCTTATGTATTATTTTTCTGTTATGCTCTGGTGACAGAAAGGAGAACTTAAAGACACATAGTTAAGGAAACACATTTGTTACTGAAACTATGCTTAACATTCTGATTTTAAGAATTGTTTTTTAGTTCTTTGGGTAACTTTGTGGTAATTGACATAATCATGCTCTTATTCTTTCTTCTAGCACACTTATAGAAAAGAAAACCAACAACATTACTAAGCTATTTTTACAGAAATATAAGACAATTTTGACAGTGACTCTCATTCATCATTCAAAAGGCATTGAATATACTCCCTCCCAGTGACTATGCCAGTCAATAGATGATTGAGACCTGGATCTTAGACTCACCATAAAGCTTGACATAATGTGAAAGATGTTCCACTAGAGATAAGAGCAAGGCTTATAAAGGCTCTGAGAAAGGGGCACCTAACTTCTGGAGGCTGTTTTAGATAGCAGTATCTTCAGGAGTGATGGTGGATTTTCCCATCAGACAAGTGAGAAAGGATAGAGAGATGATCCTGTGTAGAGGCTTGCAAGCCATGAAGATGGAAGACTGATCAGATGGCCATAGAAGGAGAAAAGCAATGCATGGTGGCTCTATAGAAGTATGGTGGGTACCATCTGCTGAGTTTTGTCATTCGGTGCTCTCTACACTAGAAACTTGTGAGCACTGGCAATATTTTTGTCCTTCAGGTGTTTTTCAAAGGACTACTTGATCTTCTTACAAATAAAGAGAGGTGGCTGCCAAGATTTGACACATGATTTATCTAAATGATCAGTCTGTGGGATCTCGAGCAGTAGGGACAAGGACATCTTTGAGGGATTTGAAGGCTAAGGGCTATGTGGGTACAGGAAGCTGATAACATGGTAACAGAAAAAAGCTGAGCATAACATTTTTTTTGCTTTGAAAACCTCAGCTCTTTTTTTAAAAATTATATTCTAAAATTCTCAGAAGTCAGGTTTGTCCAACCTAGTGTAGTTCTCACATTTTTGGAAAGATAAAGCACCAGGTGTTGCGTTCTTTTGCCTCCAGGGGATGTCCAGTGGTAGTATTTCCTTGTGTTCACTCACTAGGAATGACTGTGATTATGGGACGTAACACCAAGCAAGAGCTTCTAGGACTGGAAAAACACTAACACCATGCTTTGCGTGTAGATTGGATTGCATCTAATTTTCTAAAGAAAATATTAATTGGAGTAAAAAAGAGCTGCTGCATACAAAGAGATGCATATACTTAATACGTACAGTTTGAGGTTTTTAGACATGTGCACAGAGGCATGGTTACCACCATGGCCAAAATAATGGACATAACTCTACATGTCTTCCTAATGTTCACTTTATCTCACAAGTTTTACTTGAGATAAAGTCTTGCTATGTAGCCAAGGCTGACCTCAAACTCGCAGAAACTCTCCCATCTCAGCCTCTCCCAAGTGCTCAACCATGCCTGGATCCTCCCACCTTTTTTTGACGAATACTGAACACGGAATTCACAATTCAGTATTGATATCCCAAGCCCTGTGTTGTATATCTTCTGGAGAGTATCTCCTTCAGGCTGACCCACTGACTTGCCATGAACCCCTCTGTGATTATAAAGTTCTGAGCTCTTTTTGATCTGACAGGAAAAAAATGTTTTTTTCTCACCAGCATCAAAACTTATTTGTGCTTAAAGACAATGAACGAAATGCTTAACATGACTTAGAAAATAATAGCTGATAGATTTTAAAAATTATTTTTGTAGTATTCCATTCATTT